AATCTTCCAGCTATTCGTGCGTGGCGTCAATAAAAGTTTAAGAAGTAATTTTTTGGGCAAGCATATCTGACGTGAAATGGTAAGAGCTGCACACAGGCGCAGTGCTGAACTAGAACCATGATGGACAAGCTAGGACTACAAGCGACAGGTGATAATGGACAAGACCATGGCAAGAGGTTAGCTGATATCTAGCGAATTTATAATGACAAAAGTGTTTCCTGGAAGGCAGTCAGTGTCCCTTCATCTAACACCCTGTTGGGAAAGACTGACTTCTACAAATACACTTCCATTTAATAATTAACTTATTAGGCTCTTATGGTACTAAATTAAGAAAGAACTGTTAACAGCCTAATTATTCACGTTTCTAACCATCTTATTTAATTTATAATACATTCAATCTTGTTTGTGCGCGTATGCGACATCCCAATTAATAAGGGGCTCATTTCAGATGAAAGGTAAAACTGAAGAATGTGTATGGTTGGCAGTGGACGGCAACGGCATCTCAATACTTCATTCTGTGACTATGGTAAAATCCTTATGTGAACTCTTAAACTACTAAGAATATATGATACTGTATTTTACTGTAGCATTTAAGCTGATTCATGACTAAGTATTGCACCCATCCACAGTGCAACAGATTATTCACCATATAAAAGTACTGTTCACATGGCTTCCTTCACAGAAAAAGGATTCAGGCTATACGAAAACATTAGAGCCTTCGCATGGGTCACATTCTAAGATATACTGTATTTCTGGCTCACTCAGTTCTCTAGTGGATATTTGCCAATTAAATTTAAATTTCTTTTTGCCTACCATATGAACTGCATGCTGATTGGTTGATCGGTTGTAGTTTTTTTGTGTAATCCAGATTCTTGGAATGTTCGAATCAGACAGTAATATGGTCACAAGCAGCTGATGAAAAGTTATCTGAGATTGTCATTAAGACGAAATGATAATATAATGGTTCATGCATCAGTTCAATTATCCTGTCATCGAGTATCAAGCGCTCGTCTGATGTATGGTTTCAAGTTTTCCCAAGATGAATGAGGGCGAAACTTCATCAACATGTGGTATAACATCAATCGAAACTCGCATGCATGTTTTCAATATTTGAAATAATCCGTCTCCATAGAATCACATAAAATATTTATTCAGCAGGTTATGAACTAATGGCACATTTGTGAAGAAGTTCCGACGTTGGAATTTTTTGCCACACCTCTGAGAAGACCATGAGAGGCGTAGATGAATGCAGAATTTATCACTGATTTGCCGTGTAACGGTTTTTCAGCGTACTTGTCACATCCTTACTGCAGTAGTCCTAGTGCTAATTAGTAGGGTTTTCTTTCTCTTCCGTTGGGAGGATAAGCGCACGCCCATGCATAGAAGTCATGCCACTTCTTATGTTACTATGCATGTTTATTCTTATACCTGTATTGAACAGTTAAATTTCAGTCTATCTGTTATTGAGACTGCTTATTCATCTATCTTTGATCATTGGACTCAAGAACTAAGAGATTCCATGTTTAGGCCTTGGTTAAGACACTCGCCTTTCTTCCTACAAGGTTGATAAATAAGGACCTCTTTGTTACAAGAAAACAGACCACCTATGCTATATTAATTACTGCGCTCTAAGTATGGTCTTCGAGGAAAGAACATTAAAGCAATCCTCCTTGAAGATATAGGAACGGAGATTGGCACCACAATACAAGCCCGCTGGAAAAGATGGATGCCACAAATTGTGTCCAATCATGAAAGTGTCTGGATAATTAGCGTTCTGACAGTTAGAGACTTTCCTTTTCTTCCTGTCCTGGTTAATGTTGACTTCAATGGCCACTTATGACAGGTAATTTGATAATTTACATTTGGAAATTCAGAAACAATTAGGGCCAGTGGAAAGGAAATACTTTGATTAAGTTGCTACTGGCATAAGCAAAGTCACTGTCCAAGGACCTTTTTCAGAGGCAACAGTTTTTGACACAAATTTTATTGTTATGCGTGCCGGACAAACAGGCAGTTTCAAAAATATTAATGCCGCCCAAAACACGTTCTTCTAATACGAAACTTTGAACTTTTCACTCTCATAGTGTCCATAATAAAGGAATTGGATAATTCCTTCTTGTTCATATATGACCTTCTGATATACCATTTAGTTTAGACTTTACTTCTTCGAGCATTGTTGACTCTGATCAGCTTGATAGGAATTCACTGTTCACTGACTGTTTTATTGTTTTGTATTTGTTCATTTGCTATATGTAAATTTTCGCAATGTGCTTTAGGGTTCATTTAAGGGGGTTTGGCTGACTGGCTGACTCACTGACTGACTGACTGACTGGTTGACTGTCTGACTGTCTGACTGTCTGACTGACTGTCTGACTG